GGTTAGCCAGTGGGGTGAGACCGAAGTCCTCCTAGTCTGGCTGGTTTGGTTTGCCTTAGAGGTGGAAAAAACCCCAGCCTTGGGCTGTAACTGCCCTATTTGAGCAATTTGTCCTGAGTTGGCACTCTCCGTTGGGTTCCGCCAGAACCGCATCGTCACACAGGCACCCCCTAGTCTAGGTGTGCAGCCACCTCTGGGGTGGAGTGTGGCAACTGGAACAAGGGACTGAAGGGGGAGGGATTCCAGAGCAAACCTCAAACCTGGGCAGGACCTTTCATGTCCATGGTGAGCAGAGAGGGCCTGCAAGGGTCACACTAGTCATAATTTCCCCCGCCCCAGCCTGAGGGGCACGGTCCGGGAAATCCCCATCCCAGTAACTTGAATCATAGACTATCAGGGTTGGAAGGGACCTCAGGAGGTATCTAGTCCAAGCCCCTGCTCAAAGCAGGACCAACCCCAACTAAATCGTCCCAGCCAGGGCTTTGTCAAGCCTGACCTTAAAAACCTCTAAAGGATGGAGATTCCACCACCTCCCTAGGTAACCTATTCCAGTGCTTCACCACCCTCCTAGTGAAAAAGTTTTTCCTAATATCCAACCTAAACCTCCCCCACTGCAACTTGAGACCATTACTCCTTGTTCTGTCATCTGGTACCACTGAGAACATCCGAGCTCCATCCTCTTTGGAACCCCCTTTCAGGTAGTTGAAAGCAGCTATCAAATCCCCCCTCATTCTTCTCTTCTGGAGACTAAACAATCCCACTTCCCTCAGCCTCTCCTCGTAAGTCATGTGCTCCAGACCCCTAATCATTTTTGTTGCCCTCCGCTGGACTCTTTCCAATTTTTCCACATCCTTCTTGTAGGGTGGGGCCCAAAACTGGACACAGTACTCCAGATGAGGCCTCACCAATGTTGAATAGAGGGGAATGATCACGTCCCTCGATCTGCTGGCAATGCCCCTACTTATACAGCCCAGAATGCCGTTAGCCTTCACCCGTTGGGCTCAGAGACCCAAGGAGGCCACTGCCTGCCCAGTCGCTGCAGCGCGGAGCCAGGAGATCTGGCTGGTTTGGCCTAAAACATCCTCACCTGGAATGAAATGAACAGCCCCCCCCCTCCCAGCAGCACAGTGCTGGCACAGAGGTTTAGCCCAGATTTGGGGGAGTGGATTCAGGGGGGACTGGGAGAGGATCTAGGCCAGCAGCCAACATCCCCTCGGCAGGGCCGAGGGAGCCGCCAGAGATTCGAAGGAAGGAATCAAACTTGCTCCAAGAAACAAGCAGAAACATGGCTGCAGCTGGTTCGTGGTGACAGAGACCTCCTCACGGATCTCCCCCCGCCTGCTCCTCAGCATGGCCGGTGGTGGGGAGAACTGCCGCCCAGAGGGGAAGGAGCCAGCTGGACCCCTCCAGCCATCTGGGACGTGGAGGGGCAGGGCCCTGCTTCCCCACTCACCTGGGCAGGGCAAGCCCCACGTGAGGAGCAGGGACAGCGACGGTCCCATGCGCTCGTTGGTCAGTTTCTCTGGCCCAGGGCCTGGCCCCACGGTGTGCAGTAGGCCCTCGGATCGTCCCTCCCCTGAGAAGGGGGATTACTCCGGGACACTGCCCCAGCTCCATGCCCCAGCAGGTGGGCAGCGGTGTCTCCCCTCCACGATCCTGCCAGCCAAGAACCTGCGCTGAGCCCGCTGCCTCTGCTCTCCAGAGCCCTGCGCCCGCAGCTCTGAAGTAGTGGCCAAGGCCCGGCTAGCACGGAGGAACAGGCCCGCGCAGGGGCAACCCTTGGCATCGAGCGGGACGGGCGACAGCCTCCACAGGCCCCTGCCTCACCACCGAGCCCAGGGCCCTGCGGCTGGCTGAGCCAGGCAGCACGCTGGGCAGCGGCACTGGGAGGGCTGGAGCAGATCAGGGACTGGGGCACACCGAAGAGTTGAGAACGGGAGGGGACCTGGCCAGACCAGCGGTGCCGGAGCAGGTTACCGGCACCAGGCAGTCCTGGCCCCTGGTTTTTGAGGGCAGGTGGCTGTTTAGGCTGCGGCCATTCCCTTTGGCTCAGGGTTACCCACGCAGTGGAGTGGAGCGGGACCCGCCCTGTCCGTCCCCCCCCAGTTCACAGTGACGATCCACACAAACGTTCCTTGTGTCTTTAATGGCACTTTCGTAGCCACCCTGTGCTGGTCGCTGGTCCGAGTGCAAACGGCCCACACAGCGCGACAGCTTTAATGGGAATCTGCAAATTCCAGGCGCTTTGATCGCCCAAAGGTACCATGAATAAGGCTGGACGGGGTCCCTTCCAAAGGGAAGAGAGCTGACGGTGATCGAACACCTCACTCCAAATGGATCTAACACGCTGTGCAGACATGCCCAGCCCAGCTGTACGAAGGCCCGTCCATCTCCGGGAGAAGCCACAGCTTCCTTGGAATTACTAATCCCTGAGGCTTTAAAAACGAAAGGGGTTTTCTATTCAAGTTTCATCACATTCCCTTGGGACCTTGCATGGGAAAGGGGCATCGACGTGTGGTGGATAAAATACTTCAGAGAGGGCAGAGTACAGAACGGGGGAGACTTCACGGCCTGTCCTTGCTTTGCCTACCACTGGTATGCAGCCACCTCTGGGGTGAGACATGGCTGCTGTTAGTGCATAGCTACGCGTCCGTGTGTCACAACAGCAGCCTGGCCCCTCCCCTGCCAGGGCGAACTCCTCTCAGAGCAGAACTGGCCTGGTACAGGGAGAGGCTCTGCGGGGGATGCTGCAGGCTGAACGAGCAGAGAGAAAGGGCACTTTGCCCTGCCCAGGGCCCAATCCTGGGATGGGCCAAGGTCCCCCCCAGGAGCCTTGTAATACCAGTGGTGCAGCAGACAGGCCCGGCCTGGAGAGCACAGGGCCTGCCCAGATAGGTTCTCCCCCTTCCTGCACATGGTCCCAAGCAGCTGCAAGATGCCCCAGTCACCCCAGAGCCATCAGGCCAGTGCGTCTCGGCCTCTCCCACTTCGGCAGGGGGAAGGGACGGGAAGGGCGGGTGCGGCCGGCTGCCTTCTGGCTGAGAGCCCCTGCGCTGGGGCAGAGCCCACACAGATCTGGCACCCAGCTTCGCAGCAGCCGCCGAGCGACTAGGGAGCCAGCGGTAACACCCCCATTCTAGAACCGTGGGCAGCCCAGCCCGGTGGTGCTCGTTCGCAATGGAGCACGAGCCAGCCAAGTGCCTCCCGGTTGTTTCCGTGCAGCCGGAGCAGGGCTGGGCTGGGCCCTGCTGCCTTTCTAAAAGCCAGGCGTCTCCTCCCTGGCACTGCACTGGGGACTCCGGAGCTGAAGCAAGTCTGCAGACTCAGGCCTGTCCTGTGGGGCTAAGCGGGCGTGTTCCAGGGCAGCGCACGGGCAGTTACACTTCCCAGCCTGGCAGCGGCCGTCACACCACCTCTGCTGGCACCGGCCATGCCTGGCACTGACTCGCTGGGCACTCGGGTTGCAGGGATGCCCCAACCCAGGCTCCGGGGGTGGGGGGCTGGCGCTGCAGGCTGAAGAGGGGCAGTGGCTGCCGTCGGAGACCGTGCCAGCCCCGGCTCCTGCCCCACTCCACGATCTCCGCCCCACTCCGTGCTTCCACCTGGGCGCCGGGCTGGGGCTCCCGAAGGAGCCTGCTCCTCGGTCCTGAGGGGCAGGGTGCCCAGCAGGGCTGTGCGCCCCAGATAGGCACGCGGCTATTGAGTGCAGCCCTGAGACACTGGCTGGGGAGTCCTGCTCCCAGCTGGGTCCATGGGCTTGCCCCCCACACTGGGCACAGCTTCTGGGAGCAGTCCGGCCCTGCTGGGCTCTGCCAGTGCTGGGTTCTCCTGCTCCTCAGCGGTCCTGCTGGGGCCCGGGATCCTTGCCCTTCCCGCAGCCTCGGCATCTGCATTCTCAGGCGGCTGCTCCTCTGGGACGGGCTCTGGCTCCGCCCGCTCTCCCCCGTCTGGCTGCGGCCCCTCGGTGGCCGAGGGCTTCACCGGCTGGTGGCACATGGGGCAGGTGTCCTGCACGTACAGCCACTTGCGGAGGCAGCCCGTGTGGAAGAAGTGGCCACAGTCGGTGATCACGGCCACGTTCATCTCCTGCCCGGCAGAGGAAGGAGGGTTAGTGGGGAGCCGGCCAGCACAGCCAGGGCTGGGACAGACACCGCTGTCCCGGCTGAAACGGGACGCGGGTACGAAGATCCAGTCTCCAGTTACCCGGGGCAGAGCCTGGTTCAAGAGGCCGTCCCAGGCTCCCTGGTGCCATCGAGGGCAAGGGGGTGTTATAGGGGTGCTGCCAACCTCACACTAGCCTCTCCAGCATGGCTGGCACCCCAAGACGAGGCCAGGAAATGCCCCATTACCCAGCACCCCTCTGCCTGCCCATTGGCCCTCTCATTCAGGGCCCCTAGGAAGTCACCAGGAGACGTGAGCCACCCATCCTGCTGGGCAGCTGCGGTGGGAGGCACCTGCCAGCCTGGGCTGTCACCAGAGGCCCCCCCACTGGCATCCTTTGTACCGCACAAGTCACGGGTCTCAGCACAGATCAGCGAGCTCCTGTTCCAGGCTGTCTGCAGACTCAGGCAGTCGGTGCTGCATTCCTCCCCCTCAGGCCAGGTTTCCTAGGTTTCCCTTCTCAACGGTAAGGGCTCGAATCCTTGTCAGTGTGCAATTCTGCTGCCCGCCCGTGGCCATGGAGCCTGGAACACGTGGGCCTGGATTCCAGGGCAGGTGAGCACATGGCCTGGGGCAGTTACGGGGCCCACGTGGCATAACCAGACTCAGCCGAATCTCACGCTCATGGCCTTGGAGTACACGTGCCAAACGGGCCCAAGTGTAACGGGAGCGGCAGCGTCCGCCTGAGTCTGCAGGCAGCCTGAACCCAGGAAACTCCTCTGCCCCCTAGCAATGCTGAGTGGACGAAAGAACTGAGCAACTAACTGCCCAGGGTTTAGCCCAGCGGGTCCCACACTCTGGGGGGCAGCCTGCGTAGGGTCAGACCAGCTGCAGGAGGGGTCACAGCAATCACAAGGGGGCGGAGGATGGCATTTTACAAACTGGCGTCCTCCGCACATCGTGACCTCGCACCGCCGGTGCACGCCAGGTCACGCCGGTGTTCTCCAGGCTGCCTGGGGCCGCAGGGAGCAAGACATCCGACAAGGGGGTTGTGCAGGCGACAAGTCTGGGGTCCGTTGGGTCAGTCACTGCCCTTGATCTCGGTGTGAACCCCCCAGTGACACCCCCCCCCCCCCCCCCCCCCCCCCCCCCCCGAGGGGGACCCCCCCCTGGCCCCCCCCCCCCCCCCAGCCCTCGCAGCCCGTTCGAAGTGGATCCAACCCTACCCCCGCTCTAGGGCACGTGGAGGCCAACTGTGGAGCTCGGGTTGTACAACCCCCCGAGAAGCCACCTCCTAGCGCAGAGCAGGTTGGGCTGGGGAGGGGGCCCCCGAGATACACGTAGTGCACTCAAGGGGTTTCTGATCTGCAAGAGAACTGGCCCTGTCCCCCGCACAGGCTCATTGAAAAGCAGGGGAAGGTGCCCCAGCAGTGACCTACTCCGCGGGGCAGGAGGAGGGTGCTGGAGACCCCCTGTGCCCCGGAGAGGGAGTCCCCGTCCCCGCTGCTGAGCGCTGGCACCACGGCGCAATCCCGCGGGGGAGGCGGCTCACCTGGAAGCAGATGGCACACACGTCGTTGTGGTCCCGCAGCTGCCCCCTGGTGGCCCTGGGCAGCGAGTTGATCTTCTTGGCGGCCTCCCTGCGGAGCAGGAAGCTCTTCCAGCCCGACTGGGCCCGCAGCCACACGTTGAAGTAGGAGTGGATGATGATGACGGAGGCGCCCATCCAGCTCCACTCGCCGAAGACGGACTCCCAGGTGCCGTAGGCCACCACGCAGACGGCCACCAGGAACTCCAGCACCCGGCTCACCGCGTTGACGTAGTAAATGATCTCGTCCGTCTTCTCCAGGGGCGCGTCCTGGAGCAGCTCGATCATGAAGAGCGCGTAGACGAAGAGGGTGCCCATCACCTGGCACAAAGGGTCAGAGAGTGGAG